GTTTTCCTGCCCATCTGGCTGTGATCCTGCTGCTTGTGGAGCACCCTAGCAGCCATCACCCTGGTAGGTACAGGGCTCAGCTAAGTCACTACTACATATATTATCTGTAAGTAATAGAATAGCTTCCCTATCATAATCAGTTGAGGAAGTGAATAGGGTGAAGTGGTATGACTTGGAAAAGCTCAGCTGTATATTCCTCATAGTGCTCATGTGAATAAGTAGAAATCATGTCTTTTGGCATTGATCATTACACACACCTGAATCCATTGTGTTTGAAGGTTACTGGACTCCAGGTAGCATCCTACAACTCTCTTCTGTAACCTACAGCTTAGTTTCAGTCCTTGAAGCTCTCCATAATACCAGAGGTTAAAAAAAATATTACAGCAAGCCTATGGCAGGAAGTTAAGTCATTCATCCCCCTATGACACCTGAAAATGGTAGTGAGGATGTAAGCTGATTAGTGAGACTGTTGCCTTTCCACAGCCTGGTTTTGCCCTGAGAGGACTCTTCAGCCAGACTTTTTAAAATGTGAACACAGTCCTTACTCAGAAAACAAGCAAATCAGCAAATAAAAACTGATAATCCTTCTTGGAGTCACAGGACATGCCCTTTTGCTCTGGCTCCTTCCTAGAGTCAAGCTTGCAGGGTCTCCTACTTATGGACTGTTTCTTCTCCCTAGCTGGAGTTCTCTGCTCTTCCTTTGGGATTTTTAATTGTCTGCAGGTACTCCTTGGACACGTCTACATGAGATGTTTACTGCTCAGCAGCCTAATAACACTGCACAGTAGTGTGCCAGTCAAAAACCATGCCAATACACTACAGAGCAGTATTGTTAAGCTACTGTGAAGTAAGCATCACAAAAAACACTGTGCATCGGTGCTACTGTGCAATCACTGTAGCTACTGCACATTTAGTTAGTACTTCATTAAACAAGTACTAAACTAAATGTGTAACTTCTGAGCATTAATGAACATGTAGATGCACCTCTTGAGTTGCTAATCGCCTGCAGCTGGGGCTCTAGCATAGGCTGTCTGCACGCTCTTAAAAGGGCAGACTGTCCTGTTACAGAGAGGTTTGTCTGACTTCTTATATGGTGCTCCAGTATGCCTCATTGTTTCCAAGCAGAGCACAAAATGTCACAGTATCCATTTACCCTAAAAACCTTTATGGTAAAATAAACTGGCTCTAGCATGGCATACATGAGATGATGGTCCATCTGAGATATATAATTTAAATCTAAAGTTTAAAGTGATGAGTCACTGATCCAGTTCCCTCTGGAATTCAACCACTGGCTTCAGTACTAGCAGCACAGCATTAAAACCAGAAGGATGGACAGCACAGAATGGTCTGCACACCAAGTCTTCTGGTGATCTTCTAGACTATCCTGATCCCTGCATGGGCACTGAGAAACAGAGAAGGGCAGAAAGGTCCACCAAACTGAACCTTATTCAAGGAAGATGTAAACAATCAACCACCTCCTTGGCTACTGCCTATACACCAAAGAGGTGTGGAGGAGGGTAAGACTGCTCCTCTGGATGGTGACAGGTGTCAATACCATGACCAGAGAGGTGGCACTGTCTGGGCACCTGACCAGACAACAGGCAACCCCATCAACCCACTTCAACCAGTTCATTTCTTGCATCAGGAGCACCCTATGGAAGACTAATAATGTACTCAGGTATAGGCACACAAACCTTTCAGTTGAGGACTGTGTAAAAACGGGACTGAGTGAGCTGCAGGCATACTACCAAAAGACGGTAGAAGACTGTTTTGAGGAGATGTCAGAAATGATTTGGAAGAGAAGTGACTGGCACAGACTGTTCAGCTAGGGACAGACATTACACATAAACTGGTTTAAGTGATCAGAAACTGGTTTAAACCTGTAACAGAACATAAGTTCAGTGCACATAAACCAATTTCAAAATGGCTGAAACTGGTTTAAGATAAACCTGGTTGAATGTAGTATCAGACTTAATTGATTTGGGTCAAACCACTTTATGTCTGTCCCAGACCCCTTAACTTAAAACCAGAGTTCCCCAGCATCCCAGACGCTTTGCAGCCCTGGGCTGGGCTGGGCTGGGCTGTCTGCTCCAGAGAACAGGGCTGGCCCCACCTCTCTCCTCCCTGGCCCCAGGGAGACTCCAGCCACAGCAGGATCTGCTTGGCTTCCACCTGCCCCCCCCCCTTCCCCACTCGCTGCTCAAGCAGACCCCAGCCCCACGGACCCTAGGCAGGTAGTATGCTAGCTAATGCTGAGGGGTGTGTGTGTATGCGTGTCTCCAATTTCACTGGGACAGGACAAAGGCAGACAGGACAGTGTCTGCTTAGGGCTTTTTGGAGCTAATCAATAGATCAGCTGGTAATGTCCCTTAGTTCCTTCCTTGGAAAATGCTGTTTAAGAAGTGGTTGAACTAATGAGAGAAGCTTTTGTTTTCTTGATGGGCTGCTAAATCCTGTGTTATCAGCTCCATCCTGGCTCCCTTGCCTGTCAGATTTGCTGCAGACAGTATGAAGAAGCAGGGAGAAGGAGATTGTAAAGCTCTGTATCATCAACAGATGCATGCACTGAACACCTGCCTTTGCCTCAGAGTGCTAGAGGGAGGCTGGGGTCTGGCAATAGTCCCGAGCCTTGAGCACTGAGCTACGAAAACCCTGGGACTGTGCAGGCAGGGTGGGGGTTTATACCCTTCCCTAATCAGAGCATCCTGATGGGGCCTGGCCATGCCCCACCTCAGCTCAGCACTATGGAAGGGAAAGGGGGGCTGCTCTAGTGCCCCCCAGCTTCTAGCCTGAGTCACTGCAAGCATGTGCCTGCATGTGCTTAGTCCAGAGGGAATGTCTGTGCACTTGCAAACCAGTTCAACCTAGGCAGGTTAGACTAACCTGCAAAGATTGAATCAATTCAGACTCAGGCTTTTGTAATGTCTGTCTCTAGGCTCTAAGAACAACTCCCCCAAGGAAGATAGCAGTGATGATAACAATGATGAGGAAGAAGACAGAGACAGCAAAGAAGAAGGGATAAGTGAGAAGAACAATGGAAAAGAAAAAGACAATGACAATGATGACACAGAATAAAGACACAGGCTAAGGACTAAGGAGTGGAATGGGGGAGGGGTGCGGGGGAGGAAAAGGGTAGGGGAGATAGACAGAAGAGAGGCAGGCCAGCACAACTGTAACGGATAAGGAGATGCAAACAGGAGTGTGGGTGTGATTACTGTGACAGGAATCTGAGGTTGTAACAATGTATGTGTGCTATGGCCTGTCAAGTGAACCAAACCAGCCACTACACACAAAGACACATGCATGCACACACATTTATTTATTTTTTTGCAAGAAAAAAATAAAAATCCTGATCTCAGTGTAGTCCCTACTCTGGGGTGCCCGTTCTGGTTTTCCTGGTATCCATGACATGGAAGCTTGGTTTCCTCTTGACTCCAACTCAGCTCCTGACCCTGTCCCATTTCTGACTCTGGTCCTGGCATAAACTATGGCCACCCGGCCCCAGTGTGATCTGTGACACCTGATTTTGGCTTCCTTACTTGGCTTGCCCCTGTTGCCTGTCCCAGCCCCCCGTCATTCCCCCATTTATGGCTTCCATCTTGAAGCCTCTCCCCTGCCTCTTCCCCTGGCCTCCTGCAGTCTTGGGACCCTGCTTCTCCCCATATTTCCTCCCTGTGCCATTTCTGCCAACCCACAGCTTCAGCCACCCCTCCTCCTATCACTCCCCTTCCCCACAGCCTTTGGCCTCACCCCCCTCCCATTGACTTATTCCCCCCGTCCCTTTGCTCCAGCACTGAGCCAGAACCACAGCTATAGGGCTGGGCTGGGACTGTGCTCTATGCTCCAGGCTGCAGCGGGGAAAAACACAGCCTCCCAGCACTGGATCAAGGGTGAGTGGTGTGGTGGAGGGGGAGACAGGGGAAAAGGAGCAAAGGGGGAGATGGGGGAGGGAGGGATAGGAGGCTTGTGGCTGGTGGGGGAGAGGCAGTTAGTGCAGGCTGCAGTTGTGGCAGTGGCTCTGGCACCAAGCTGGGCCTGGAGCCAGAGCCAGAGCCAGACCAGCTGCCTGCCCCCCGCCCCACTGCCTAGTATTTGATTCCAAAGTGCTAAATGGGGAAACAAACCTTGCCTTAGAATTGAGTAAATACAGTATGCCAACGTTTTAAGCCTCTTACATGCTGCCACAATGATGTTAAATGGCCTTGGTATAATTGAGAATCAGATTCCACGTGTAAATAAATAACCATGTAAGAGCAAAATCTAGGCAACATAATGTAAAGACAGATTTTCAGTCCAGACAAAGCCACCAATATGTACCATCTGAAAGCAGAGAACAGCTCATCAAGTTCGGCTGCATTCGTGCTGAGCACACAATCACTGAAATTGCACACTTTCACAAAAAGAGCCTCAAGAGGCAAGGATCTGGCCTGAGTACAGAAAGGTTTTCAAATGTCAAAAACATTTTGGTTATGATTGTGAAAGAATCATTACAAATGGAGAGCATAACCATCCAGCACACAGAATATCTGTGTGTACTGAGTTGTGTGGCCTGCTGGAACAATGGAAATGTATCAATGTCATGACAGGGCAATACAACAGAATAGCTTATATTATTTACTGTAGGTGAACATTCCCCTGGGAGGCTCCCGCACTATTAAAGTACCACTCAATACCTATTTTAAGAGCATCACAGGGCTTGGTGATCTTTCTGAAGAGTGGTGAATTTTGCCTAGTGCATCAAATTCTGCTCCTAGGTACAAATCTGTAGTTTCTATTGACTTAAGCAGGAACAACATGTCCACAACCAAAGGCAAAATTCAGTTCTGTGTTGAATATTAGGGGGTATCATCTCTCCTTAGATGTGGACATAAAAGCCAGTAGGTTTAATGGGAGCTAAATATCAGTATCATGGAAGGATCATACCCACAGCAACACATCAACCTGAAATTGTGTGTGAGAAAATGATTAGTACAGGTTTTGTTTTTATGTTTTCCTTTTAATTATTTTTCTAAACATTTGTATTATCAGACAAAACATTTAGATCATGAGAAAATATTTATTTCCAACAGCATGGATTATCAATGTTAATTGGAAGAAGGCATGTTCAACGTTACAATTTCTCAACGCTGGACCAGTTGAACTAGTATGTAGCAGTGCATATATTAACCAGTTACTTTAAAGAAATGCAAAAAGACAAAGTGATGAGAAGGTGAGTACAAACATTCAAGGCAGTAAAAATGCAGAACACTGACATATGGTTGAAAAATGTACTTTTTTGTAATTCTCTTTTAGTATCACATAAAACTAGCAATTCACTTTAATACATTCTTCATTATCAACCATACTTGAACTACATGAATGTATTAAATTTAATATTATCTTTCAGCAAGAAGAGATCTTAAGGTCTAATGTTCATCTCAACTACTTAGATTTTGTTAACTTTGCCTGTTAAAGATAAAGTTGAAAGGTACTGCACCAATATTATATAGTTTTTTATTTGATTTGTACAGAAACATGCAGATATTAATGCATGAGGGCTTTTATAAAAGTTATATTTGGTTACAATTTTATATATTATTGATAGAGCACACTAAGCATTTTTTGTTACATTTTATGCTGAAATGTTAATCCACAGCTACCTAAATGCCATCATATTTTATAAGGCTTAAAACATTAAGCCAAGGAGTGGAGGAAATAATTATGCCTTTACCCTAGAACATAGTTACAAACTGATAGTAAGTTATAGGCAGACATATCCATATAGAATTAAGATTGCATGGTTTTTGTATCAGCATGAAATGTAAAAAAAAAATAGGAAAAATACAGGTGACTGGCACAATATACCTTTGAACCAGTTTTGTATAAGGCTTTTGTTTTCCTGATGAATGGGACATTAACTTTTTAGACAGTTTCTTTATACATATTTAATCATGGCTGTATTACATCACAATCTATTTTTAATAAAATAAAAACTCTGGTGTTGTCTTTAAAGATAGTGAATTTCAATTTAGGGCATGTCCACCCTGCCCTGCTAGCACGGCCAAGAAGCAGGCTCCCACTCACTGTGCAGTAAGGACTGGAAATGCAGTGTAGCCAGTTTAGCAGAGCATGAACCCAGAACCATCCTCAAGCGCGCTGTCTTGGGCATGCTTCTTGGAGTGCGCTCAGGGTGCCAAGCATACGACGTGGCCATTTAAAGAATAGCTTGCAGCTAGTGTATAAGAGCTAGATTTAAGGTGCTTTCATTGTTTTGCTTCCTTTCCTATAAAGTATCACACAAAACATTGCAGTATTTACTTGCTGACATGCTTTTCTTTGGCCTTTACCACATTTTTAATGCTTTCCCCCCTGTAAGAACTCAATGTTCATTCATTCACTGGATTTTTGTAAAATTCAGTGAAACAAAATGCTAGATGGATTTCTTTCACCTCAGTGACATGTCCTTCTATTCCCATCTGAAATTTCTTTGCATCAAACAATAACTGCAAGCAACAATTAATTTAAAGCTAGATTTTTATACGTTGTAAACTGCCTAGGACCAGGAGTTACTGACAGAACCAGCTGGTCATGCAAGATTAGCAAAGTATCCCTATTCCAATGCATTGCCGTATAATCTTTTTCATTTGTTCCCCCCCACACACACACTAAACACAACAAAGCTGGACGATGGTTCAACAGCAAGTGCATATGATAGTTCTGGCAAGACTATTTTTGTTTTGAGTAAGCATGTATTTTGTCTGAGAGAGGTTAGAAAAGCAAAGCTTTTTTCTTTAGGTCATTCCGCTTCCAAAGTGCCAGACGATCAAATTCTTCAATGCTCATTTTGAAGACTTCCTGGAACTCATCAGGGGACAAGTGCCTCTTGAAAATGAAAATACAAAGGCATTGTAAGTGCTTCCATAAACAAGTATCTTTCTCTCTCTTCTGTTTTTTAACCCACACTACAGTATAATGCATTAGGGTTTATATTCAAATTCCCAATATGGTTCTGGAAAAGAATCTAAACCAAATAAAGTAAGAGCACCTGAGAAATGAGCTTATTGATAGCAATGGCTTATTTGTACAAAAAGAGAACATTTTCAATAAAGAAGCTCCGGTCTTTGGGAAGGAGATATTGTTCCTCACACATAATACCTGCTGTCAGAACACACCAGGACCAATTTAAGCCATTCTGAAACTGAAAGACTGATAAGAATGTAATTTCAGAGGTGGATTTGTTTCTTTTTGATATTTAATGAGTCCAGTAGACATCATGATAGCAGCCTCATAACAAAGTAGAGATCATGCTGCTAAAGCTCTTACATGCAAAATGTGCTTATCAGTAGGCATAAAATTATATCACAGTGATATACTAGATAATGTTAATTTGAAATGGCAGGAAATGTGCTTTTATTTGATGTTCTAGATTATTCAGTATAACTTGAGAGAGGGAGTGAAAAAGAGAATTATAAAAATAAAGACTTCTCATTGGAGTAGGATAAGCGATCTATATGATAAAATTATGCCTAATACCTAATAATTATATTAACAGAAAAGACTGTGAAGAATAAATACATTTTATAAAATGATAAATGCACCTGATTATTTTAATTATCCATTAACTAACATGGGCTAATCTCCCACAAAGCACTTTACAATTATCCAGCAGGGTTCACAGCTTCAGTTAGGCAGAGATTATACCATCTAAAACTGATATAATCAAGTGAATCATCAAAAACGACAAATTGCCTGTTTCAAAAAAGACTTCGTTTGAGTAACCAAGTGGAGCTCAATTTTCACAGATTCGGTGCCCGTGAGTTCCACCGCGGTTAGTTCAAGCTTAGGGGCTCAGCAGCTCTGCAAATCAGTCCTGCGGTACTGAGCTGCCAAAAACAAAGGTTTTCAAAACCAGAAGCCTTTCAAGGTCAAAGAGTCAAAGGCTGGATAGAATCCAAGTATGCTATTTTGCATGTTCTGATTACCCTCCAGACCAGGGGCTGGCATCCCAGAGCCCATGAAGCCATTTGATCTGGCCTGCAAACGTGGCTTTAGTGGCAGGGTGTCAGCAATGGTCACTTCCTTGTGCTGCTGCAGGAATAAGCAGAGGAGATGGTAGCTTTGCCTGTGCTGCCGTAGGAAGAAGTGGCAGCAGTGGGCACTTTCCCTATGCTGCCATGGGGAGAAGCAGCAACAGTGGATGGGTCCTAGCAGCTGCTTGTCTGCTTGCCTATCTGCCCTGACCTGAACTGGGTCATTCAGCCTAAAGAGGTTGCTGACTGCTGCTCTAGACCCTCACAAAATGCTGTAGTAGCTGCTTTCTCCTGTTGAAGAAGCTGGGCCACTGTGCTGGGACGAATGTAAGATTCTTGAGGCAGGGAGACAGTGTGTGTACAACAAGTAGAACAGTATAGCTTAGCGGTTAGGCACTCAGTTGAGAGGGGACTCTTGGGATCCAGTTCCCAGACTGGTAAACATTTTAGGTTGTCCCAGGAACAAAACAGAAGCACATCCAGGTTCAGCAAGAAGGACCCAGACCTTTCCTTCTCAGACAAGTGTCCTCAACACTAGCCATAGCGCCAGGGTTCCCTCTTTCTGACTGCATGGATCTTACATTCCTTTCAGCAAAGAGGCACAGCTCCAGCAGTGGAGGTGGAAGGTACCCTTTTCTCCTACCCATCCTAACCTGTAATCAGGTGCTTAGGGCAATCTCCTGGGAATGTTTGTGCACTTACGTTAGATAACCACTGGATTAAAAAATTAAATCCCTTTTAGGAGCAGAGACAGGAACTCAACCCACGCTCAGCCACATGTCCTAACCTGTAGTATATGGAATCAGGCTCTCAATTGTTTGCTTTCTTCCTCCTGACTTTCAGCTTTGTTTGTCCTGCACCCAGCCCTGGGTGCAACTCCCTGCCTGCCTACAGCCCCATCCCATCTGTCTGGTCACACACCCTGCCCGTGCAAGTCCTGGCCGGTCCTCACAAAGACCCCAGGATCACTAGGCAGTGACAGCATGGGGCTGGGGCCTGGGGCAGAGCCACAATCTGCTCCCAGCCCATGGAACCAGCTCCTGTTGCAAGGCTGTATGGGAAGCAGATCACAGCTCTGCCCCCAGGCCGTTCCCATGCTGTCACTGCCTTGCAATCCCAGCCCTGGCCCCACCTGCTCACCCATCCTGCTCCCAGATGCCACTTCCCACCTGCCCGTGGCCCCATTCCCAGCCACCTGGCCCACCACAGAGCAGATTTAGTTAGGGAATTTTGGTGAGCTGTTGCAAAGGGTGGGGGGTAGGGACAGAGGGGTGCTGATCCGACTCACAATAGTTTACTAAAACTCCCTATATGGCCCACAGGCCCAAATAATTGCCCACCCCTGCTTTAGCCATTCTCTTGGTACCTGCCCTTGTGGTTCATGCCTTCTAATTTTCTTAGACAGTTTAAAGTACAGACATTTTCATCACTTCCCTTATGAGGGACAACATCTGAAACCACACCCAAAGCCACCAAAGACGAAATGAAACGAGATACCTTTTGCTCATCCAAATACATTTTTTTTTCATGGCTATATTTGTAAAACATGTCTTTGACCCAGTAATCTGTTGAAGTTATGCTTAGAGAATTCTTTCAACACAGGACCGGATCACGATTCTAGGACAAGATTCAGATTGGGGAGAGACCGCCCTCTTTTTCAAACTCAGAAACTGTCAGCGAAAGTTCCTCTTTCCAGTATATTGACAGATTCTTCACACTTTTACGTGAAGCTGGAATGCCTTTGTTTTTGTACTTTGTATTTGTTCAGTGTTTTGAATGGTGTTTAAGTTAGCTGCTAACTGTAGCCGCATACAAAAAGGAAAGAGAAGTTCCAAATGTTGTCATTTTTTCTTCTAAATATATGTAATAGATTGCAACAGGAGTGAGATTGAAACAAAGGGCTTTTTCCTTTAGGGAATCATAGATATATCTTTACAACATTCTAAAAATGTCCAAGTACAGTGGTCCATAGAGCAGACAGCTGTATTTACTTTCAAGTATTTCCTTAGACAGTTTACACAGAGCAGATGAAATCATTTTGAAGTGAAAAATTAACCATTTACTTAAAAAAAAAAACCCCAACAAAAAACCTAGCCCTGAGGGCTGGATCCAATATAGGAGCTATGTCATGTAATGCCTAACTTTTAGGTTTCTAGGGCAAAATCTGGAGTTGTCTTCTAGGAGCCTAAAGGTTAGGTTCTGGCCACCCTAAAAATTTGGCATCTGGACTCTTAAGAAGGTGATCTGAAGAAACAGGATCAGGCACCTAAGCTCCCTAGGGGGTCAATGGGGAGATTTATGAGGTCCTGGATTCTCTGGACACTGACCAGGGAGCCGCCTAGGGCTAGCAAACAGAAACACTAAGCATGGGGGTGTACTGGATCTTCTCTCCCTTCAGCTTATGCACCTCTGTTCGCTTGAGACCTAGAGTACAGATGGTTGGCATTAAACTACTATTAGTAGTACCTACTTTCTATGTGTCAGTTTTGTGGTTACAACACGTACCCAGTGCATGGGAGGCCTGGGTTCTAGGTCATCTCAGCCACAGGAAATGTAAATCCTCCCAGAATGCTTAGCCACTAGGGTATTGGTTAGTCTCGGTAAAGGCACTCTCTGTCCCTCATATGGAAAGTGGCTGGGGCCACTGCAGGGCCATGTGGGCAGTGGATTGTGACTCTGCCTCTGCCCCGTGTTATCACCACCCCATAATCCCAGCCCTGCCCACCCATCCTGCTCCTGAACACTGCTCCCCACCTGCCCAAAACCATGCACTCTGCCCACACATGTTCTGCCCCTGGCGGTGGGTGTGGGGCAGAATGGCTGGGGTGCCCCAACAGTGGGACTGGGTCTGGCCATGGCAGCAGTCATCAGGAGCTGCCACCACCAGGGATGCTGGGAAGTGAGTCCGGTGACCATGCCACCCCAGCCCTGCTGCATGCCTGGGGGTGGCAGGACTAGCCACACAGGCTATGGTTCAGACTGCCCCCATGCCTGGGATGGCTGGGACCATCAGACCTGCTGCTGGCCAGACAAAATCCCTTGGTGGGCCAGACCTGGCCCATGGGCCATATTTTGCCACCCCTGGTCTAAAGGAATTTGGAACCATATTGTTTTACTGGCACACACAATATAAACTCATGTCAATAAACTTCTGCGTACACTTTGGGCCGGATTCAGCTGCAGACACATGGCACATGTGTTCTGGACTAATCTACCTTTACTCCACAGTAAAACTCAAATGGACAGATGGGCTGCATCTAAAGGAGTGCAGATGTACAGTATGTGGAATCGCACACTGCTCGTGCAGGCGTGCCCCGCACTGCTACCTTGCAAAGCAGGGGTGGGGTTTGACCCCGGGACATCCTGGGGTCAAAAAAACCCCACACCAAAAGAAAGTGGGGCTGCACATGTGGTGGCAGCGTATGCTGCCCAAAACCAGAGCCTGGCTGGCCAGAACCACGCTCTGGCTTCTGGCCAGGCTCCCAGCTGCAGGAGTGCCATGGCTGCAGCTCCCCAAGGCCCCTAGGACCCCAGGAAAGGCTGCTGGGGCCAGCCTCCCCTCCCCCACCTGGGGTAACCTGCCGTGCACCAGAGCGTATGTGGCATGGGTGTTCCCCAGGGATAAGTAGCAGCGGCACAAGGTGTGCTGCTTCTTCTTGTCCCTGGGGAAACAAACATCCATACTTGTCTGGATGTAGCCATGATGTGCCATATATCAGTACAAGTGGCTATGCTCTGGGCACGTCCAGACAAGCATGGACATTTGTTGGTGCACCTCAGGTTACATTGGGTGGGTTAGGGCAGGCTGGGGCCAGCAACCTACCTGCTCATCTGGGTGTGGCCTCTGGGGTG